CATTCAGTGTTCGATACAGATACACTGAGGCCTACTCAGAACCCAAACTCTGATTTAGTAGACGACACACTGAAGAACTATAGAGTTCCTAGATCTGCTCAGTCGAGCCAGTGGGACTCTAAATCTTCTGTGTGATGGCAATAGAAGGAGGGGTCTGATGTAATATTACCAGCCAGAGAAGCCATTATTTCAGTATACAGGTTGAAACATTGACTCAAGCATTTGGAGTTACTGGCTGTGTGAAACATACTGGCTCTGTATGTGTGTGTGTGTGTGTGTGTGTGTGTTGTTGACAGTGAATCACATGATGAGGTCCTCGCTCAAAGCAGCCTGACACAGGCTCATTGTTTGGTCAGCTGCTGCCCACTGTTTCCATTCATGAAAAGTCATCATCACTGTGTGGGTTTACTTCAGATGATCATCCAGTGATAAATTAATCCACTTAAAGTATCTCCGGCATTGTTTGCGCCGCACCTGATGAATAAACAACCACTGTTTATGGATGTATGCAAAATTGCTTTATTTCCATGTTTTCCTTTTTCATACATTTGTTGTGTAATAAATAGACATGAGAAACAGGCTGATGCTTCAATCCCTTTTCCCATGCCGATTCTGCACCGTTTATTTTCTCCACACCGCAAACAACTTTTCATAGAATTTACAACAGAAAAAAAAAAAAACAAACAAAAAAAAAAAACAAAGCTTGACACAAGCTGAATTTCCTGCTACCAGCTCATTGCTCACCTCATATGTTACATCTCTGAGCTGTGTTCGTGTAGCAAATCCCAGGGAACAAAAATATATATATATTTATATATATTTATATAATATTCACAGTTACAGTATTTACACATTTTTAGGATTACAAAGCAAAATGGGCAGAAAATGAAGACGTTTCTACAAGAAACAATCTTTCCAAAGGGAGGTGGTGACTTTTCCTGTACACAGTGGACCTTTTTTCTTTTAAATAAACAACCTTTAAACCCTCAGATTCCTTTTACAGATCCCTGAAAATATTTTAAATACTCAGTCTTTTGTTTTTTTAAAAAAAAGAGAGAGAAAGAGAAAGATGCATCTTAAAAGTGTTACCCCTGTGACGATAAAAAAGCTTTAGATCTTCTGTACAAGTAATCATATACAATATAAACATCACTGGTGAAAAAAAGAAACTCTCCATAATCCAACTGAATGAAAAGCAATGACTGACTTGGTCTTAATGGGGGGGGTGATGATTGGCTAAGAGGGGGCGTAAAGCGGAAGTGCAAGCCTCGAGTGCATTCACAAATATGTTTTCATCTTAATGAGTTTATAAAGAAAGAACAACCCTCGCAGAGAGGTCTGCTGGGTTGTAGAAACACTTCTGTTTCGCAGGAAACATCGAACACTGGTAGAGTTATTGAGTGTTGTACTTGAAGACGACACAAACGTGATGAAGCGAGCCCAAACATCTTCATCAAATGCCCAAAATAGGCAGCAATTCTTTGCACATGCATGTCAACAGGCGAAAAAACCAACTCTTATGTCCATCACCTGCCTGCTCAGGTGAAACAAACACAGTTACACATTCATATGGCACTTAAAAATGAGAAATAATTATCTCTTAATCAGCTGAAAACTTAGTTTGACAAGTCAAATGCTGCCCAGTGGATGTAGACAGGGAACTGGTTGGATTTTTCTTGCTGTGCATGATTGGGCGGCCTTCTATGCTACGGCCTACAGGGGGCAGTGCACTCACATTCTCTCTCACTCACACACACACACACACACACACACACACACACACACACACACACACACACACGTTGGATTCTCTCACACATTCACACACAAATATAGTGTCTTTGAAGAAACAAGCAAGAGAACCACCGAAACAAAACTGAGAAACATTGGAATATCATTAATACAAATTTAGTCATCTTTAACTTCTCTTTGTTTTTTGTTGTTGCATAAACTAATAGGAAGCAGCATGATCCGTTGTTGGCTGGTGAAAGCAGGCGTGATATCCAAATATTCCAGATTTTGTGGCAGGATTTAACCATTTTTGTTGCTTGATTTTTTTTTATTTTTTCATCAGTTTGATTTACTTCCAAGTGCAGAGGAGGCAGGAGCGAGAAAGCAGGGTTGCAGTCCGGTTGGCGGGCCGCGACACTCCGCAGTCATCCCATCTGCTCAGGTGCCAGAGAGGCGTTCTTTTTTTTTTTTAATCTGGCGGGCTTGTGCGTCTCATCAGTGTTAGTAAGCAGCTGATCATGTGATTCTGTGTTGTTGTTTTTTTTGTACCATGTGTGGTGTACGTAAAGCTTATGAGACAAAGGTGAGGAAAAAAAAAAGTGTAAAACTGTACAAAGCGAGACTCGACGTGGGAGGAGCCATGCTGAAATACTGTCCGACGTTGAGAGGAGGAAATGCTGCACCAACGAGTCAAGTGTTTAAGTTCTGGGTCACTGGCAGACATAAAAAAAAATTATGCCTTTTTTTTTTTTAATTTCAAGAGCACCATAAATCGTAAACAATCTAGAGTTAAATATGTGAAAGGGGGCCGTACGGACGACGTGCAGGGTTTCTTCTCGCTCCAAAATAAAATCGGCCCTCTTCAGTTCCTCCTCATCCAGAGTCTCAACGTGTGCTTGTCTGGGGAACTTGAATTCCAGGACAGCAGGTTTCACACCCTGGAGAGGACTGACCTCACATGGACGTTAATTCAGAGTTCCCCTGCAGTTCTCTGCCCCACACAAACAGGGGATCTTCTCGTCCTCGATGGGGAACTTGTAGTCATACGTGATCTCCTCGTTGACGTTGATGGGCTGTCTGGAGTAGATCACGATCTTCTTCTGAGACTCCACCGTGATCACCTTCGCATAACAGTTGGGCTGAAAGAAAACAGAATATGTTGCTTTTAATCTTGTGTTGCTGTTTTGTATACGTGCTGCTTAAGCTTTCACATCATGAAGGTGTTGCCTTACATTGCAGCTGTGGTTGATGAAACGGGCAAAGTTGCCACACTTGGTGGCGTCTATGATAGTGTCGTGGTCGACGCGGAACATGTAGCTGCTGCCGATGCCCTCCTCTTCGTATCGCTTCTCTCGCATGTCCGCAATCACCTGTCAATGGAGAGTTGTCACTTATTAGAGGGTCTGACAGCTTTGAGATGAAAGCAGTGGATTTTTATGACACAAAAATCCACTGGGTCTCTACTTTAACCCCTTCACTCATTAACCAAACACCCCATCTCGCTATCAGTCAACAACTATTTTCATGGTTGATTAACCTGTTGATTATTTTCTTGATTAATTGATTAGTTATTTGGTCTGTAAAATGTCAGAAAATGGTGAAAAATGTTGATCAGTGTTTCCCAAAGACTAAGATAACATCCTCAAATGTCTGGTTTTGTCCACAACCCTCTCATAGAAGAGTACAGAAACCAGGTCAAGTCAAAACCTTCTATGAACATTTAAGAAGCTGGAATCAGAAAGTTTTGACTTTTTTCTTTCTTAAAAATGAGTCAAACCAATTGATTATTAAATTACTCTGTGATTAATTTAATAGTTCACAACTAATCTATGAATCTACTTGGTTGTAACCCTCTCACACATGCTGTTATGGCAGTCCGACCGTCATGTTTCAATGCAACCCCTAAAGTCTACATATAAACACGGTATAATCCATCTTGAATGCAATTATCCTCATCAAATATTTCTTCATCATCAATGAGTCTTGGTTTTCCTGAAAAGGAAAATGTGAAATACACATCTATATTTATGGCTATAATAAACTTTACGAGCCAGTTGAATGCAAGTAGATTAACTCATCTGTAAAAATGTCATCTTTATTTATGTACGCACAGACAACCCAGTTCAAGAGAAACAACTGCCTCTCACCTGTCTGATGTTTTGTCCCACATACTCGATCACCATTTCATCTGCAGCGATGGGCTCCATGGCGAAAAGACCCCAGTCGTGGATGTGCGACTTGCAGAATCTGATCTTCTTCTTACGGAACTGAAAGAGTACAGGCAAACAAAGTGTCACTTCTAAGTATCTGGAAAGTTGATATTAAAGGAATATTTCACCCTCCAAATGAGCATTTGCATGTCTTTTACTCACACCTTGTAACTGGGAATGTTTTAAGAAAATGTAGAATTCAAAAATGAAGACAATTCATCAAACATCAAATATCCTTTTACAAACTCTCACACAACTCATGCATGATAATCCAAGTCTCATAAATACAGTTGTACGCTCAGTACATCACAAACAGACAGACCTTTCTAATGGGAAACTGAATTGAATGTGAAACGTAACTATGCTCACTTCAAAGCCAGACTCCATTGACAAAACCAGTAATTTTAACCTTGCTGAACACTGGAGCTGCTGGTCTATAGCTGCCTCAATTTGTTACTTTGTCTGTGTTATTGTGTAACTTTGGTGTTTGAAAAAGGTTAGTCCAGATTCAAGTTACACAATAACACAAACTCATAACTAACTGGTCAAGGCAATGGTAGACCAGCAGCTTCCTTGTTCAGCATGGTAAAATTGTTGTTTTTGTCAATGGAGTCTGGCTTTGAAGAGAGCATAGGTAAGTTTCACTTTGAGTTCAGTTTCCTGTCAGAAAGGCATGTGATGTACTGAGCATACGACTGGATAAATGAGACTTGGATTATACTGCATGAGTTGTGTGAGAGTTTGGAAACAGATGTTTGACAAACACGGCCCTCTTTTACTCCAGTTCATCAAGACTTGTCTCCATTTTTGGATTCTTCGTTCACTGTGGAGGCATTTCTTCAGTGATTTAATGTAACTCAGGGTGTCTAATTAATATACAAATGATCACTTGGGGGGTGAAGTATTCCATTACAATACTTCATTAAAAAAAGACAGTTTAGGTACATGCAGGTGGCAAACCTCCTTTCAAAAGGTACAACTATCTTTTTGCTTAATCCTCTTTTTATTCATTGCAGGGTGAATAATACTGGCCACCGGAGCAAAGTTCAGTTTGTTTACCTTCAGCTGGTTAAATTTCAGCAGGTCACTGTCACATGCGAACGAGGATAGTAAACGTCTCTGCTCCGACCGCCGCTCCGAGCCAGCCCGGGTAGAGGCGTGGACCTGTGCAGGAATACTCATACCCTGCAGGGAGATGGTAGAGTTAGATGTGTTCACCCACAGCAGGTTGACATATATATATATGTATCACACCTATGATGTTTTACGTGCACTTTCTGCAGAATTTGATCATCACACTCACCTGTGTGTCGACCGGTGGCTCCTCTGACTGCAGCTTTGTGCTCTGAAGGTACTTTATCTTGTCCTTCTTGTCGATCTTTTAGTACCCCTCGCTACGCGCACAGCCGGTTATGTGGTCCCTCATGCCATCGTCTCGTCTCTTTTTCTTTACTCCAGGGATGTTGGTAGGTGCAGGGAAGTCAAGGAGGAAACTGAAAAAATGAGGCCTTGGAGCACAGCTGAGATGCCTAACACCTCTAAGTTCATCAGATACTAAATAGCAGACAAAACAGTTCCTCATTTTCACCACCGGAGGGGGCTGCTATGTGACACACACACACACACACACACACACACACACACTACAAAACAACTATTAAAAAAGAAAGTAATACACTTAACATTTTTTAGAGTTATTTAACTGGGCTGATCATTTAAAATGATTTGTGGAGCACTTAGTAACTTTTGAACATCACAAACACACATTAAGATTATTATTATTATAGTACGCAACATTTGGTGTGAATCCGCAGACGTTAAGCAGTAAAGGATATGAGGATGGTTGACCCAGAGCGTGTCGTTGAGCCAGTCATTGCCATTATCCTGTTGGAGCATCTTATCATACGTGATCTGCAGAAGCCGTATGTCTTCGTCATCTATGCCTTCGTTCCAGATGTCATACAGGATGGTCATCTCCTCAAACTCTGAGCGTGGGGTGAAGTATGGCCGGGGAGGTGAGGTGACAGGGGACAGGCTGCCCAGCAGCAGCTCTTCCCAGCCTCGCCGCGCCCTCCGTGGAGGCTTCACGACCACAGGTGGCTCTTCTTCATAGGGCAGGAAGCCGTCCTCAGCGGGCAGGACCGTCTGGGGCTTCACCTCTCCTTCCCGGAAGTCCAGGCTCGGGTGGCTGGGGGACTTGGCGGATATCGTTTCTGTGGATACATCGCCGAGATGTGTTTGGTGAGGCGGAGGGATGGACTCAGAGGATAGCTCCAAAGACTCGTCAGCTGCAGAGACAGCTGGCGTCTTTTTGACTTTGGGTCGTCCAGGTTTCCTCTTTGATGCTGCAGTATCTGATGGCACAGGGACGTCGACAGTGAGGCAAGTGGGCAGATCTTCAGGGACACTGGCTGAATGCTCTGCGCCAGCTGACAGAGCCTGGTTAGGCAGAGCGCTGATGGGCGGCTCCTTAAAAACAGGTCTATCGTCCAGGCTCTCAGAGGATATTTTCCTATTAAGCGTCAGTGCTGCGGGGTCAGGGAAGACAGGGGTGAAGGTTAAGTCTCTTCCTGGAGTGCGGGGGACTCCAGCGCTAAGGACAGGGGACTGTGAAGGGTAGGAGAAGGGACTACCGGGGATGTGAGGGGAGCTGAGCAACAGGCTGCTGCCCGTCAGCGGGGCATCACTACCAGGTGTGATGGGAACAGTGTCCGTGCTCTGGGACTTGCCCAGACTTCGGGCACGCTCCATCAGGTCCCTGCCTGGCGTGCGGGGGATATCCTCATCTGTGGGGAGCCGGGGCCGCTGGGGGAGCTCAGGCAGGGGACCAGGGGGTGGATGAAGGAGGGAACGACCTTCTACCGCCGGGTGAGGAGGGAGGGGGAGGTGCATTAAAGATGCAGAGGCAGATTTGGGGACAGGTGTGTTTGCATCTATGTGGGGTGGGATTAATCGCCCAGGGGTGCAGGGTACTTCTTCAGGCTCTGCTTTACCTTTGGGTTTTGTGTCCTGGTCGCTGTCGGGCAGGGCACCTGTGGGAGTGGGTGGCCGAAGGTTCGCTACATGCTCCTGAGGTTCGGACTTCACTACAGGAACGCTGCCGTCTACGCTGATGTCTCGCTCTTTGACTGCAAGACAAGAAAATAATTTAACATCTGACATACTGCAAAATGATAAATACCTTTGTTGACATGTTTGAGCTGAGTAACAGCAGACACTCACGTGGGAGGCCTTTGGGTGATGGCGGCTTCGGATGCTCCATCACCTCCTCCTCAGGACTTGGAGGTCTGCGTTTGAGCTTGCTGCTCGGCTCCTCTCTGCTCCTCTGCTCCTCCTTGTCCTCTGGGACCGGTCGCGCAGGTGGGCTCGGTGCCACGGTCTCTGCCTGTGCATCCTCTTCATCCGAAGAAGAGGTTGAAGAGGATGAAGAGGACGAGGAGGTCATGGCCACTTTGCCTTCAGCCTCCACATCTTGTGCCATTGCATCCTCTTCCTTTTCTTCCTCCTCATCCCCTTCCTCTTCCGAGCTCATCTCGTACTCTGAGGAGTCTGAACTTGCTGCTGAAGAGTCTGAGCTGCTCTTGGAGGAGGATGAACTCTCAGCTTCTGCAAGACATGGGGAATAAATGAAGGAAACAGACAGAAACAAACAACCAACTGTTGCGTTTTTATATTTAAATATTTAAAGTACCGTCATCAGATGAATCTGAGGAAGCGCTCTCGCTGGATGAGTCTTCATCATCACCCTCCTCATCGCCACTCTCCTAAGAAATAATATGAGATCATAAAAATGTGTACAAAACACTATATAAACAATCCAACAGATTTTTGGGACGGCTTACTTTGCCTGATGACAGCCTATCTGCAGCCTCTGTCTCATCAGGCTCCTCCCTGTCAGACAACGACTCCTCTTCCTTTTCTGACGTGTCCACCTCCTCCTCGCCCTCGCTGTCCAGTTCAAGTGGCCGGGAGTGCCGTCGCTTTGCAGATGCACTGTCGGCATCCATTTTGGAATCGTCTGACGGGAGCTCGGCTGGGTCTCGATCCCGGTCTGACAGGAATAAACCACGAGATAAATTAGCTACCGGCAATTTCATGACACCAGGAAGAAGAAGAGAGGATAGCAAGTGTTGATGTGTCGACCAAAGAGAGGTTTACCTTCATCCTCCAGGTCGTCATCCACTGGAGTGGATGGTCGCGCTCGTTTGTTGTCCCCTGCAGCTGCAGCCTCAGGCTTTCGTTTGACCTGAACACAACAAACAACAATTTAACACCAACAGGCGGTGCAAGTTGTCGAAGAAAAAACAAACTTCCTCCTTGTCCATTTGTACTAAAAGGCACATTTCAAGGCGTACCTTGAAGGAGGGCAGGCGGATGGCTCCTCGCAGACCGATTCCCAGGCCCATTCCCTCGTAGCCCAGTCCCTCGCCTTTGTTCCAGTTCTCCAGCAGACTTGAACCCATTGTCTCTTTGGGTTTGGGTCTTTCTTCTTCCTTTCCCTCCGCACCCTTCACTGGAGTCAAAGACGCCTGGGGAGAAAAAGAATAGTTACTGTATAAACCTTGTAATTTAACTGAAGAATATAATTTTATATATAATTTTATACATTTTTGTGACTGGATTCAGTCGACAGATCAATTTCCATGAACCACACATTGCTTCAGATGTAAATGCAACTTAAGATTATTTTATAATAAGTCGATTATTTTCCCAGCTGATTCTAAAGGAGACACTGTTAACTTACTTGTTTTGACTGATCAACAGTCCAAAACCCAAAGGTGGTCAATTTAGATACAAAGATATAAAACAGAGAAAAGCAACAGAGTCTCCCAACTGAGAATGTGGCACCAGTGAATATTTGGCATTTTATTTTGATAAATGATTCCAACAATCAATTGATCATCCAAATTGCTGTTTAATTTACATGATTAATTGGGTAATCTTCAGCACTATTTAATCACAGCAACACAGCCACCATCTGTTTACAACATCACCTTTTTGCCAACATTTTTTTCCAGAATTATCAGCTGATGTTTTTAAGGTATTTCTTAAAATATAATATTTATGACTGATGTAAGATTCTTTGTGGATGTCGGATTGGTTAGGAAAAAAACATGCGCTTCATAGAGAGGTCGTTTTGACCTATGACTCTTTTTTTAATAATCTGCAAAATAAAACATGCTTTGATTGATGAATTGAGTTTATCATGAACCATTTGAGCTTCAATTGATGGCTTCTATGTAATTATATCATATAATATTGACTCTATTAGACTGTTTTGCCAATTTATTTAACAGGAGGTTTGAACAAGTATATTTTCCCCCACAAATATTGTGCATATCTGGAGAATTAAAGTTGGGCAATACAGAGAAAATCAAATATCACAATATTTTTTACCAAATACCTCGATATCAATATGCTTTTCAGAAAATGTATACACAATTATTTTTTTAAAAAAAACATCAGTAATGTGTAGGTAATGTGGGTAAAAGCAAATAATAGACCAGCTTCAACAGTCTGGTAAGTTCAGAAAATTACATCACTTTACTGTAATTCAGCCTTTAAAACCAGAAAAATCTATCTGTGATATTTTGACTTACCTTTGCTGAGCGTTCCTTCTTCTCCCACCAGTCATCAAAGGCTCTAAAAGCCACCACCTCCACCATTTTGCGGTTGAGGTCCCTCTTCATGATGGCCTTCAGCTCCTTGACAATGACCAGCAGCACACCCTCAACAGTGGCCTTGTGGGGATCCTCCTTTTTCGTCTCATATCCAGGAGGAGGAACAGTAGGGTTGAACTTTGGTATACTGGGATGCTGCCATTGTTGTCCGGGTGCTGCTGCGCCACCAGCAGGTGTAGCACCCATAGACAGGGGCGCATAGGGTCCCCCGAATGGCCCAGACGCACCACCGTCCATAAAATGTGGATAAGGATAGGGCCCTCTGGTCTGAGCATAGCGACTCAGCATCTGCTGCTGCATCTGGAAGGACATGGGAACAGAGCTCCACTGTTCCCACCGCAAGCAGTTCATCAGCTCCATTTGCACCAGCGGCACCATGCTATGAGGGTAGGGACCCATGGGTGGCAGCATATGGTGAGGCACTGCAGGGTGACCGGCCAGGTGGGGGTGTCCCGTGACGGCAGAGTGAGCGGCGAGGTGGTGATGCGAAATCGGGAAGCCGGCCTGGTGCGGGAGAGGGGGGAAGCCGGGAGGAGGGATGGCAATGGTCTGCATCGGGGATACAGCAGAGTTTATGACGATGCCCTTGCCACAGTCGCCACTGGTGATCGGAGTCCCGGGCATCTCGTCGTCAGAGATTTCCATGTCTTCTCCTGACGACTGTTGACCCTGCGTGTAAAGGGGACAGGGAAGGTCAACATCCATTTTTCACAAGATGCACAAGTACAATAATTTGCTCTTTTCATCTCCATGACAACTGAGCAATCACCATCATCTCATGAAAACCTTGGGATGAGGTCAAGAAAGCTAAGGACAAAGCTAGTAAGCGGACCTTGAGGTAGGATTGCCAACCTGCCCCTTTAGCTTTAACAAGTGTTGTAGCCAAGACCACCTTAACTGAGACCAAGTCATGACCAAGACCAGTGTATCAAGACCAAGACAAGACCAGTGCTTTTCCCACTTCTGTGTACAGGGAACATGCAAACCATAAGAACTTCTGAAATTGATCTCAAAGATCCTCATTCCCATTAAAGTTCATCCATAAAAAATAAATAAAATCCCTCTTTGTTCACTTCTTTTATTGCTTTACTGTATTTGCATATGTATAAGTGAAGCATGAGAAATATCTTGATAAAATAATTAAAATGCATTGCAGAAATATTTTGTATATTGGATTATTCCTTTGTTTTTTATGAGCAAACAAATACAAACACTAAGGAGCAGAAATCAACTTAACCATCTTTATTCCAGGGTTCATACAGCTTCAGGCAAGTTTTGAAGACTATTTTAAAGCCGATCAAAATGAAAATTAAGACAATTTTTTCACTGATGAGCCGACTTAAGGTTACTTAAGGTTAGGGTTACTGAAACATAAAACATGATTTTTTTGTCTCGAGGCAAAGATGAGAGTCGAACAGACCTGGGAAATACCTGACGTTTGTTGGGAAGTCTCATTCTGCATGTGGGATTCCACTGCCTTGATTCCCATCGTGCCAAGTTTGAAAGAACCTCTCATGCCATGCCGCAAAATCAGATAATTAGATAGTCGATTTTCATGGAATTTGCACTTCCCTTTGTCGAGAGAACAGTTTCTGCTCTGAGCGTCCCAGCTGGGAAAATATATGTGTGATGTTGATTCCGCTATCCAGATCTGTGTGATGTTAATGCGAAAGGCATTCAATAAATTGTTATTTAAAAATAACAATTCAAAGGATCGCCATTTTCTGAAGCCTTATCTTAAGATTACTGAATTCAATACCTTTTAGAACTTGTTAAGGATCTGCGGGAACCTCGTATTCAACACTTTTTTGCACAAGCAATTCAGTGATTCCCCCGCAGTTGTGGTCTTACAAGCATTCTTAAAATAAAATCCTGTGTCCTCTGTCCGAGACTGAGGCAAGACTGAGAAAAATGAGGTCAAGTCTAAGACGCGACAGAGATATTAAAAAGGAGTCTTGGTCTCGGGACCAGGAGTGATCTTGAGCACTACAACACTGGCATTAATTATGGGCATAGTCTGACATTTTCTAAGTTTAAACCAGGAAATATCTGAGCAAGCAATAAGTAAACAATATCTCCACTCAATAACAATCTGCAGTACCATGTGCTGTGGACACATTGTCGTCAGTACCAAAAGCGTACTTTTAATAGTCAGTGAATCATTCAAAATAAGAGCAACAGATGATCTCAGTGCTGATCTGAGGTCAAAGTTTTGTATTCACACTCGTGCAGTCAAACACAGCTGACCCATGTCATTGGTCAGCGTGTTTCCAAACAGAGCTGTTTGCTTTAGGCTTCAAACTCTTCGCTCTTAAAACCACAGCACAAAATGTGAGCACGAGACTTGTGCCGTCAAACACACCAGCTCTGAGTCCTCCTCCCTGCTGTTTATTATCATAAAAGGATTTCTGTCACAAGTGCTGCAGGAGTGAAACTATGGAGAGTAGAGTAAACTGAGCAAGGGGAGTGGCGTTGTTATCCAAATGACCTGTTTGCAGTGCTTGCTTTGTGTTAACTTGAAATGCGAGACAGGAGACGCTGCGGCCAATCCTGACTGTCAGGCTCGGCAGAACCAGGAAGTGTGGTGTTGAATGGGGCTAACTGCCAAATTGTGTTTTCCTCCTTGCGAGCGTGTGGTGAGTGTTAGAAAGAGGAAACAAGAGTGTTCAATTCCCCAACAGCAGAGCGGCTCTTATTTCTCCTTTCAAAGCACAGCGCCGAGTGTAGAAATACAGCAACACAGGCCAGATGGTGTTACTATGACTTCAAACAAGGAGATCAGCTTCATATGAATGTAAAGGTATTTGTAAAGCTGTGGGTTATGTTGAAAACTTTTCATTCATAACTTACGTCAACTGGATTTTTAACGTTTATTATACGCAGATTCTGAGACTATTTTGCTAACAAATACGCCTTTTTCAGGGTACAAACTCTGCTTATTAGTCATTTAAATTTGCTCTTTGAATCAAAATGAACACGGCAGCAGTCAATTGAAAAGGCAAACACCTTTTTTTGTGGTGCCTTCATACAAAGACTGTTTCCTTTACAAGGCACAATGAAACAAAAGGGAAAGTTTACTACTACCATCATGCACTGAAACTAGACCTCACTTCCTGTGTCCTCAGTGTAACTGTCACAGCTGTGAGTAAACAGCAGCACCTTGCTACTATCATCTAATTAAGACTATCAACACGAGCTTTAGCGACATTTGGAGCCCCGGGGTGCTGTTACTTAACACACTGTAATATGCACGTAATTCTTTTACATATGAACGCAAGTTTCATGCAAATACAAAAAAACACATCTGTCTTACCGTGTCCATTTTATCAGTGGGAGTGTGGCCTCGAAAATGTCCATCTTTGAGGTCACTGTTGCTCATCTTCTCCTGCACAGGAGAAGTGATTCTCTTGATCAGCAAGGCAGTTCCGGGTATCGGCTCTTCATCTTCCGAGTCTGGCAGTGGGGTCGGACTGATGTCCTCCAAGCCCGTGCTGGAGGGACGGGAGTTCTGCTGGCCGCCTTGGGAGCCACTTGTGTAAGGGGGAATTGGGGATAGCTGAGAGGACGAGGAGGAGATGGGACTCCCCTCCATTCGCACCTCAGTGTCCGAGTCTCGCTCCTCCAGGAACGGCAGCAGTTTTGTCCTTTTCCCCTTGAGGAGCATCTCAATGCGGGAATCCAGGCTATTGCGCTCTGGATCGAGCGTGGGGGAGCCAGGTGAGGGGCAGTGCTCTGGGGTTTGAGGAGGAGGGGTGGTCGGATGGGGCACGGGCTCCGGCGGGGGCTCTGGGATCGGAGGAGTTTCTGGTCTCTCCTTGACGGGTAAAAAGTCAGTGGCCGCTGCCAGAGGCGGCTGCGGCGGTCGGATGTACTCACCCTCCCTTTGGGCTGGGTGATGGAAAGCAGGATCTGACGGGGGGAACGCGGGGGGCAAAGGAGCCTGGTAGGGCGAGAAGGCGGACTTGAAGTTGGGCGTAGCAGGGGGAGGCGCTGTGTAGGTGTAGGAAGGGGTGGAAGGTGGAGGTTCAGGTGGGGTGAGTTGGTGCTGTTTGAAGGGAGCTTGTTCAGACGTCGTACTTCGGTACATGTTGCTGCGGTACTGAGGCCTCTCCGGTCTGCGGTTGTATGCGTCCTGGAACTTACTCTCATGTCTGCGAGATTTGTAACCTCCGGAGCTCTCGGCACGGCTGGACTGGTACGCTGGCGTGGACTGCCGACTGGAGAAATTGGAGTCTTGAGAGTAGGGTGTACCAGTCTGCCGTGGGGTATGGGGGGTTCCCTGGGACTGGGGTGTGTCCTGCCTTAGGCTGGAGTAGCCCGTCTCCAGGGACAGTGGAGTGGTAGAGCTGTTGGGTGGCAATGTTCCTCCAACAGCTGACACGCCGCTCTCCGACAACCTGCGGATGGGCTCGCAGGCCTTAGAGGAGACAAACAGGATCAGGATGAATCAAGGTGTCACAGGAAACATTCACAGAAACCTCTACCATCACAACTAAAAATTAAGTAAGTCTCCAGGTGTCACTTGGAGGCTACTGTATATAAATTAAGTCGTTTAAGTAGTTGGATGATTTTCGCCAAATGCCCAACAGTGTACACCTGCACCTAAAAACAGCAGCTAGTGGATCGAGTATCTAGGCACAACGCCTGGGGGATCTCGTGCTACGAGGCTAAAGTGCACATTTCAGTGGCTTTGTGATTTCAGTCCACAGGCGAGGGTCTGGATAACATTTCCTCTGTGCTACTCTACCACCTGCTGCACTGATAACACGGATCACAGATAAGGATGTCAGCTCAGATTGGTAAATTATTTCTACAAAGTAACACTACAATTCAGAAATCGGCAGTCTGACCTTGGGAAAAACCAGCAGGGACTGGACTAAACTATATCACTATCTAGCTCCCACTGCCATAGTTAAGGGAACGATTTATAATAAACTCATGAACAAAAAAAGTTTTGCATATTGTTAGAAGAGATTTTACCAGCAAGGCTTCTGCCAGGATACGAGGGGAAACTTCTCTGGCCTCCTCTCCGCCGACAGGCAGGGTCTGCGGAGTGTAGGTGCCATTCATCAGGAGCTGGAAGTACCGAAGGCGATTTTCACCTGCAGAACGATAAACACGTGTGGGTCTGATGCCAAGTCTATAAAGCAGGCTTAATGCCAGCAGGATTTATTAAAACTAATCTGGAAGTTTATGCAAAATGTTAACATTTGTAGATACACATAAGCAGTTTCATTTCTGAGTACACACTTCCCAATTATTTACAGTAGGAGCATCACAAACTATATATTGTTTTAATGCCTATATATGAACTGCAAACTGTAAAGCTAATCTGGGATGTTATGTAAAATACATACAGTAGATTTTATAATATAATAGCTCACACATGTCTTAATAGATCTGACATATCATACACAAAATGCAACACTTATTAATATTTAATTCTCATAAAGAATTAGCATTTTATTTACTTAAAAAATGTGGGAATAATCCAAGAGAATAGCACATGTGTAGCCAGTAATAAACTGCATTTATTTCACTGATTAAATAAACACAGACTGCCAGTCAAATAATAAATACTTGTCTCAAGAGGAATTAAAGTTGCAGTTCTGCATGAGTCACAAGCAACAGCAGCAGACTGAATGTTAACAGTGTTAAGACGTGAAAAACTGACTCAAATCTAAGCGATTTCATTCAAATGCGACTCAACAGAGACCGTGCGAAAGGGAAGAGGACTCTGACAGATTGGTTTGTGTTTGTTTACAGGTCTGAAATTATGCACAGTGGGAGTACACAGCACCCTCAGCTCAGGGCTTGTGGGAGCAGGCGTACATTCAATGAAATTCAATTACCCCACGTTACCATGCAACGCACGTAAATGTACACACGTGACTGCTGTCCTACCAATAACTCAAAACAAGGCAACGTTTCACTCCGAGGACACGTTGGGCTCGTGTAGCAGGCTCGGATCGTGCGTAAATGTAGGTTACGCGTCTTTTCCTCAAATGACTGAATCACTGTTTACCTTTCGGGTCCAGCTCCACGTGGATGAAGTTTCCCATAACAGACGTCTTGTGCAGCGACTGCACGGCCACTTTGGCGGCTTTCACCGTCTCAAAAACAACTTTGGCTATTCCCAGGTGCTTTTTGTTCTTCGGGTTGTACAAGATCTCGACCTGCTCGATCTCCCCGAATTTCTTGCACATGTCGGTGAGAAATCCTTCCCTGATATTGTCGTTGAGCCTGGCGAATGTCACCTCCTTTGGAGGCACGGGGCCGATGTAGCACTCATCGATCTGGAGGGAGAATGAGAGGGATATCGTTATAGAGGTGCTGTCGGGTGAATGCTGCAGCGTGTGGGGTCATTTCTGACAGCTGTGATAAGAACAACAGAGCCGGAGTGGTTGCGATTAACATGCAAATCCAGTCAGCCCTCTGGCATCAGAGTAATGCATGTTATTTGGGTTTTAACAGCCCCTCTGATATCATAACTTCACTCCACATCCCGAAGATGAGTGAAGGGGGTGTGTCTGCAACTTTTGACAGCCCCCGTTTTCCACATGGACAAAGCTGGCATCCTGTCAGAGGAGATACCTTAAATTTGGGCACCGGTAGATCCGTCTCTTTGTACTTAGTCCAGAGACGACCGATCCTCGGATCCCGGACGATTTCCACCGGTGCAATCCCAGGGTTCTGCAGGAGAGGAGGGGGACACACAACACTTGTTATCCATCCCATTCACAACTTCACACGGCCAGAACTTGTTGCAAAGTAGTTTCTCACGGTGGTGGGTTAAAATGAACACCTCCACCACGCCGTGCAAGATGCTGAGACATGCCCGTGGCCGGCCACGACAACACAGCCACATTGTAACCTATCATGGAGGTCGGCTACTCGGTTACTATTGTAGCCGTGTAGCCGCGTCACACACGGTCCACTTACGGGCATGCTGAAAGTCTGTCCATCGTAGCGATACAGTTTGTGTGGTCCCTTCTTCAGCGCCGGGTCGATGATCAACTTGTAACTTCTCCAGTGGTGACTCCGCTTCTCCGCCGAGCCGCAAACGGGATGACTGTCCATGCCGTTCGCCAAACCTGAAACGACAGGCAGCGACAAGGAGAGGAGAGCTATCGTGAGGCAACGCTAAACACGGTCCCGTTACCAGCCCCCAACACTTTAAAACAGCCAAACGGTACAGATGCATGACTTTGGTGGCGGGGGGAACCCAGGGGAGAGCGAAAACGGGATCTATAGCGTAGATCCCAGTTACGGAAAACAGGCATTAGGAGGGCTGGAGAAAGAGGAAAAAAAGAACAAGCTTACTTGAACTCTGCTTTCTGCCATGGTCTTCGTTCAATCTGTTTCTCTCCCCTGGCTTGGACATGGTTCGTCCGATCGAGTGATTTTTCTTTAATTGATGAAAAGACGGAATCGCTCTCCTTTCGCCGCTTACATTACATGATTTAGCTTGAAGAATACTGCCTCCTTTTCGGCGAGAGCCAACACATATTGTGTGCCTCTAGTCTGTAGCTTCTGTCTCTCCCACAATACACCGCTAGGCTTGCCCACCTCCGATGCTAGCCGCACTTTCGTTACAAACTTATTCGTATCTGCTGGATATTTACTAACGATATCGCCGTATATTAAATTACTTTAATTTTAAACGACTGAAACGGCAACGTTTGTATGTATACATTATATTATTATAACCCTGGTGACAGCTTTGTGTCGCTAAACCTCTAAATCATTTTGTGTGGAATCTGCGGATTGCATTTACCCAAATGGCAAACACAAGCTAGACACAGGGGGCAATATCTTCTAAACTGTCACTAAAGGCTATTAAAATGTGGTTTTTCGTGTGTGTACATACGTGTCGTCGTTTTCCAATTCAAACATGTCGAGCCATATTTGAAAAGCAAGTAACTCCGCTGCTGTAGAGCTAGTTGTTGACTGCTAATGTGAAATGTCTCACAGAGGAGTGAGTGTAAAACGAAACTCGGTTGATTAAAAAGCCTGAATTTAGCATTCATGCTAATGCTAACAGCCGTTGGAACGCGGAGGTTTGTTGCATCTCTTTCTGTCAGTTGGGCTAATCAACACCAACAAACTAGTGCCAACCGTTGTGCTGGATGTCGTTTAAGTGTTAAACAACCGCGGAGCTTTTAATAACATTTAATTTTTTAAACATTTAACATTTGCCGTTTTTATTATATTTGTGTATATTGTCGACTTAAGTGGATTTTGCTTGACATTGCCTGGTGTTTTGCAGTGCTCGGGCAATTGGCTGGTTAACAGCGGCAGCTCGGCGGGCCAATCAGAGCGCAGCAGCAGAGGAGCTGTCTGCTATTAGAGGCACAGCTCAGGAGTCCTTCAACAGAGAGCAGAGAGAGGGGGCCAAGCGCTCTCGGCAGCCATTTTCCTAAAACAGGACTCAATGGCCTATATGGGTTTCCTTTGTTCCAAAAGGGATCTTACACTTGATTTCCTCATCTCTCACGGACTATGATAAAACTATGATTCCTCCTTTTAAAGGATTGAGAAGAAGGAAGAGAATGTGCTGGATGTAATACCCTGTGACATCTTGAGCCTTTTTTCCTCTGCCTGGAATCCATCTTTGTCTTAACTAGGTCATGGCACACCCATATAATAGTATTTATATTTCTTAAGTGAAAAGAAACCAAATGTTGTGAATAAACAGCTGTATGATTTTGGAGATGTTACATTAAGGGGGAAAACACAGTTAAAGTGACAAAGTGTAGTGTCTGTTGGCATTGCACTTATGGCCTTGTATGAGTAGCAATAAGTAAGTTAAACTCTTTTATAATCATTTTGGTATTTAAGTAAATGTAAAAATGTGAGGCATGCAGTTACTGTTATTAAAACGTGTTTACTGTCAATTTATTTATTGAGCTATCATCAATTTTGGCATCTGTTACAGACAACTTTATTCAATATGTTCACTGCATGCTGACATATAAATATACAGCCTATACAGTCCAGGTTATATACATGTATATATGCCACTGCTCCTCAGCTGATACAGAGAGCAGGCCATGGGTAACTAATGGCCTTTTGCAAAATAGTTTATTATGCTGCCTGTATTTCTGACTGTTGATTGATAACCTATTCACGTTGATTAATGACTTTAAACACTTTCCTCTCACAACAGCAACGCTTAACACCCTGGTGGCTTGTGTTGTACCCTGCCTACAACTGTGGAGACAACTTCAAGCACGGTTAGGTTTGTGCTGTCCAATTGCCATTTAAGAACCAAACGCGTCCAAAGTGTAATCATCGGCTTGACCTTGCTTCAAGGGCATATTTAAATATCTTAAGAAGCACGGTCAGGCACCTTTTGTTACAGTTTCTACAACGTGGAAAAAAAAATTAGACTGCAAAGAGGAAACAGATGGAGGGAAACTCTTAGGGTGAAAATATTTACCTCAGTACTTTGGTGAAATGCAGTTAACAGGCCTAAACGCAGGGGCAGGAGGAATGTTTTCAGCTCCATCTTCGGATCCTCTAATAATGGCATTAATAAGGGGTGGGATAGCGTCTCCTGCAAAGAAAGGAATCCATTAGCACGAAAGATAGAGAGCTCTTTTGAAAACTTTTTTTTTTTGATCAGTGCTAGGCATTGCCTCTCAGCCAGCGAATATGCATCTTCAAGCATCATCTGTGTGGGCAATATGCAAACCATCTCCTCTCTCTCCTTGAAGACAGGATTGCAGTCAAGTATAACCTCGACATTTCTAACTGAGCTACATCAAATAAAACCCACAAGGAAATGTTGTGTTTGAAAGGTAATGGATTTTGAGCTATTTCACTTCATTTTTGCCAGTTTATGTCTACATGTATACTTGTTCTAACAGAGGACAGACAACACGAACATTAATTAATTGTGGTTAAAACGTTACCAGCAAAACTATATTGACTTTTGTTAAATTTAACTGCATATTTTTTATCTCTTTGATTGATAGTGCAAACTTACAGTTAGGATTCAAAACATGTAATCCAAGCTTTAAACGAGCAAAAGAATCTTATTGGGAGAGAAATCTTGTAAATTTATCTGCTTCCCTTTGTCCAAAAGAGACGTTTTGGTGACAGACTGTGTAGGCTACACTTGCTCAATGGTTTCTCTGCTGTTCTCTTGTCTCAAAATGGCTTCTTTACAGACAAAGGAGAGCACTGTGCTGTGAAATGTTGCTGCGCCATAACTGGGAGAGGCTCGTGCGCTCGGTGAGACAGCCTCGCTCTCGGGGACATTTTTCTCCGTGATACAACAAGGAAATCTCCACACCGATCGACACTGGGGTGATTTTTTTTTTGTACTCGAATGGGTGTATGTTTATCAAGAAGTAAAATACAAGAAGTCGACGGTGCGTGAAAAGGAAGGAAACGTTATAATAAAGTGGCGCGTTCAGGCTGTCGGTTGCTGGGCTGACTCGCCCTGGCAACGGCAGTAATCCGAGAGCTCTGGACGGTTGCCATGAGAGCTCGAGTGTGTTGTTGCAACCCCCACACTGCCATATAAGGTCATCAGGAATCCTCTGCAGCAGCCCTGTTGTGTTGTATATGGGTGAAAATAACACGGGGTGCTTCGGGCTTTACGCGTGCACTCTGGCTCGAGACAAAGACCGGCGGATCACTGGCATTTCAAGTGCTGCACATCAGAAAAAAGTAATAAGATACGATTATATTTTTTGGTCGGTACAGAATTTAAAAATAGAAGTGGCCGTAGTGGTGGTGGGTGTCTATTTTTTTGTTTGGCCACTTTGGTGCCATTTTACGCACACTATTTTTAATGTGTGAGCGTGCGTAAAGTGTAGTGCTTATACTATGAGAACACACAAAGCTGCAGTCGGTATGTCAGAGGCCTGTTTTTCTTGTTATCCACTCCTAGCTCGGGCTGCCAAGTGCGCGCGTTCCTCCATTTGCAGGTCACGAGGCTGCAGACAGCATTCCTCTCTGTCCTCTCTCCAAACCCTGCTTTCCAGACCCCCACCCCCACTGCAATGGAGACTAGATTGTGAAGTAGGTTTTATGTGTGTAAAACACGGGAACATTTTTCGTTTAAATCCGCCAATGAGGTTATTTATAGGCCTTTGTTTAAAAAAAAAAAAAAAAACTCCCCGATGGGTTGCGCCATTCAGCTTTGCGCGCCGCTGACAGACTGGAATATTCCACACAGAGGATTGGCCTCTCTTCTGCAGGACAGCTGTCTCTCTGCACGGCGACAAAAAAACTATTTTTGACAACTGTTCTTTGTTTGTTAATTGATGAAAACAGGGGCTGTACACGTGTGGATATTTTGTACACCTTCAGGACAATTTAATATCCTTTATAGGCACCGCCATTCATATGTTAGGCTGCCAGTTTCACCTTGTAAGTCAAACAAGCACTCTGTTTTTTATTATTATAGGTATGTTTCATAGCTTGTGTTACACCATAGTGTATTGTAAAAGCATATGGGGCACATGAGAAGTGTGTGTGGCTGTTTCCGTGGAGTAAGAATAACCAGGCTGTGAGGAAACCTGCTGTACAGGCTGCCCTTTCTTTCTGTCTTTCCTTGTAGGCTCAGCTTTTTATTCTGACGGATTGTTCACTGAAATCAGGTATTCCTTGTGCTTTGTGTTGTACTCTTGCTTACTGAAGGATTTTTCCCAGGCAGATTGGTGGTACTGTATTTCTTTTATTTAAAACCTTGGCTCTTTGATAACTGCATGTATTATTAGTGTAATATTCCACAGTATGGTTTGTGATTTAGTCTCTTACTTGGCTATATTATAACATGTCTGTGTCTGAGATCTTTAAATAAATAGACTATACACTAATTTTTATGTTTTATTGTTTTGGAAGTTGTTATTCTAATGAAGTTGCATTGCAGTTTTACTTTCAAACGATTTTAGGCCCATGTTTAAAACAGTATTCTACCCTGTCATGACATACAAGATACATACTACACTAAAATACACAATGAACATAATTCATGCTGCTGGGTGACATAACTGTAGGAGCAATTTGCATTTTTGAAATAGGTGTAATTCCATTTTTTTAAATTATTGCAGTGAATGTGTGTTTTGTGGCAAAATACTTTAGTGGTTACATGTTTTCTTAAAATAGGCAAAGTAAAGGGCAGTGTCAGCTCATCCTCTTAAAGGGACAGCTTGCGCAAATTTTCACCACTCCTACCCCACTAACTGCACATTTTCCCACCCGTGACCACTGAAATTTAACCTTTAAGTTAGGCTTTGTAGCCTCCGTCAGTGTGAGTTTGGCTGCCTTTATGAAAGAAGAAATGTTCCAGACTGAGAGTGAATCAAGACAAATCTCAAATGCAACATTTGTGTGTGTTATGTAAGCTCATTCTGTGTGATCTGCTCCCTCCTGACACCCACTGTAGCTTATTTCTGTTGTTATGAGCAATCATCCACTGTCGACATATGCTGTAATCACCACGAGCATTCTCAATCATCCATTTTATGTGATACCAAGTAGTGACTCAAAGGCAACTGGACTGAATTTGTAAGCCTACATTGCACATCCATTTGATTTTGATCACTCCAAGATGCACCACATCTGGCTCAACCATCGTTCTAACACTGACAAGACATTCCTCATGCCCTAAAGCAGCCTGTCTGCCTCATACACACACACACACACACACACACACACACACATACAGCCTCTCATTAAAAAAAAAAAAAAAAACAGCACATACTGTACCTCTGAATGTTATCTCCAAACCAACCACTTTTTATTTTGCTCATTTAATTAGTTTGATCCTGGTTAAAGATGTCCGTACATTGCACCCTGGGACATGAGAGAATAGTTTGTCCTGACGCCCAATCTGTGATGATGTCACCGCTGTGTTCAGCCATACAGGATGAACAGAGGAGTATGACTGACATATGGCTTGGAAATACCCCTGGGGACTCATAATGGGATGACATTATAAGAAAAATATATATTTTTTTACCAATTGCGTGAGTAAATTCAGCGTATTGACTGTTTGCTGAGGGTTTATTCAAAGCAGGGATGTTCAACTTGCTTTGAACGAGGGCCAGTTTTGCGAAATGACAGGAAGCCAGTAGCAACTTAATGATCAACATTTATAATTAATACATAAATAATAAGCTCAGACCTTTGTTTGTGGGTGTAGGGGATCCTTTCCTGGTACATTTTTTGATAAACAAGCCCTGTTTTGTGCTTTTTATCCACTTATTTACACTCAAAGCACCAAAAAATTCCCAGTGTGAATCAGTTTATTTTAACTGTGATTCAGAAAATGGTGAGCGAGACACCCGGCACCAGATCACAGGCCAGATTTGGCCCACAGGCCACAAGTTGAGTGTCACTGATAAAAGCTAAGACTTTGAACTATATGTAATCATTGATCTGAATCAATAAAAATCATTGTACCTCATACAAGAGAGTGTTTTGGTCAGTGACCATACACATTAGATTGACATTTAATGAATTACCATTAAAGGAATGTTCCATATTGATTCAAAAAGCCACCCCTGTTAATAAAATGAGTGGGCAACCCAAAATAAAATACACACACACACACACACACCATATTTGAAGAATCTGAGAGAATTAAGCAGCTACTTTTCTACCTGTCATGTTATAATGTGTGTTTTACCTAAGAAGAAGAGTAGCTAGCCTTTTACTGGTGTATTTTCCTGAGAAAGCAGGTTCACACAAGTAAAAAGCTCTAATGTACGTTCAAGTGCACACACCCAGCCTTTTCACTGTCATCAGAGCATATCCAAGCTACACATTCATGACTTTGCAGATAACAATCCAGAGATCTGACAGAAAAAAACAAAAAAAAAACACACGCTGACTTGACTTAAGCATTAGAGGTGAATATTTTCGTTGTTATCTCACATGCACTCTGTGGATGGAGGCAGTGCTTCAGATGGAGCACCCACCCAGAATCTGAAAACATAGGCTTGCAAAAGAGGAAGTGGGAGCAGCTAGACTCAAACTGCTACACATGTGCAACTCACTGTTCTCACACAGAGGTGCTTTCAGTGTGCAGACTGATAATAGGACAGGAGAGGAGTGTAGGGGGTCAATTGGAAACAGCCTCAATGTGACAGGAACAGGAAGTGGTGAGCAAAACCTGCTACCCGGTAAAACATGAGGCTTGTCTGTTCTTCTCTCTTGACGCTGCCTGTGCATCACCTCAGCCTCTCGAATGTACATTCATCAGGCTTTGAGATGTTTTTGACTTAAATGTGGAGGGAGGATCTTCAGCCCCGTCTCGCCTGACACCTGTTTGACTGTTTGGAGGAGAGATGACACAAAAAAGTGCTGGGACTGCCAATGGTACCACTGCCAAGAAGGGAGACGAACTTAAAATTGTGATAGTGGGAGATGGAGGCTGCGGGAAAACATCACTGCTGATGGTTTATGCTAAAGGTGACTTTCCAGAGGTGAGAAAGCTTCAGTGTCATGTTAGGTGCCTTATCTATTGATACTGTGTGTTCTTTTATTAGTAAAGTTCCTCTTACTATAATCAAGACTCTAATAATGTTGAAATTTAAACGTATGTCAACTCTTTATCAGTCCAAAATGATCAAAATACATTTCCTAATATCATAGAATTCACTACAAAATAAAAGTACAGCTGTGTCATAAAATGGACTTCTTTCTCCTGTGTGTCAAAAACAGAAATATGCTCCATCAGTGTTTGAAAAATATGTCACCACCATCTCTCTGGGAGGGAAAGAGATAAAGCTCAACCTGTATGACACAGCTGGTAAGACTCTTCATCAAAACTCACCTCACTTTTAAACATATTTATTTCTACTGTCAGTACATTTCACACGATGTGGAGAGGCACCAGGGTTTGGAACATACTGAGCAAAGTGTCATCGACTCAGATTGCCAAGGTGGAAATTATTTTATATATTTATCTTTTTTGAGACATGAAAGTTTGGAAATCCTCCCACTGGGTGTTCGGGTTTTATCTTGATGTCCTGACACTGACAGACACAGAGGAAGTGGTAAAGGTCGTTGTTTATGTCAGGGAATCGTCAACATTATCTTTCAGGAACTGACCAGCTGAAGCTGGATATTAATAATTACTAAAAGGTGTGGGATCACCTGTAGAGGCAAATATTGTAGTGAAAAACAAAAACCAAAATCATGTCAAATCCCCTTTCTCCTCTTGAATTAAAGTTGTGCTGAATTTGTACTTTAACATGTTGTGAATTATACCTGAGTTACTGTATTTTTATAGCCAGCGACCAATAATAGAGTCAGACTAATATTTATCATCCTATATATTCTTATTATTAGTTCACAATAAACCAAAATCACCTTAAAACAAAGGCTGCTATCATTTGCTGATAGTTTATTTTAACACTGATCAGATTATCAGTCAATGGGCCTTAATTCAGAGTATTAATATTTGTTTTTATCTTATTTAACTAGCGTCCTTCCACAGTTTTTCCACAGCTTTTTATAAAACAAACACTCAACATGTTTTTTAATTAAATTGCATTTATATGTGGCACATAAAACTATCGAAAACTGCCCCATTTTCTGTAGGTGGTACCAAAAGCTAGGTATCAATTTTGCGCCAGTGTCTATTCAGACAACACCCAGCTTGACTCCACACAGTTGTATTTCTGTAGTGTATAAAACATGAAGTTCCCATGAGAGCGGAACACTTTTAAAAGCCATTTCATTTATCAGAAAAACCCACGACACAGACTGTGCCTGCAGCTTATCTTTTGTATAATTGCAGCAGGGTGCCTTACATCAGTGTAAAAAGGAAGCTGAAGCCAGGATGTGGTTTTATATGTCTATCCTAACTTGGTAGCATTCATCATATCTTTGCACTCAGGCTGTTGCATCGAGAGCAGACAGCTTTTTGTTCACTTCTCAGGAATTGTGTGTGCACAGTTTTACATTCATCAGCTAACATGTATTGTGTGTGTATGTGTTTTTTTTTAGGGCAGGATGACTATGATAGACTGCGGCCGCTTTCATACCAAGAGGCTGATCTGATTTTAGTCTGCTTTGATGTGACCAACCCCACCAGCTATGAGAATGTCTTGATAAAGGTAATCATTACTAGGGTGCATTAACAGCGTGCCAAGTTAACAGTTTCGGGTTTGCTGTTCAAATTCAGTTTGTAAATGATTGTTAGAGTCAGGTATGTTGGTGTTGGCTGCATTCTCTTAGCTATGATTAACTCACGCAACTGAGCCTGCATGTGGACATTGACCCCCCCAGCAGCAGTGCATGCAGGGACTTCCTCTTTCCTGTAATCTTTAAGCACAAAGTGGGGTGTTAAAAAGGACACACAACATCCCAAATACTTTAATTCTTATTTTGTTTGTTTACCCAGTGGCACCCAGAGGTGAAGCACTTCTGTCGGGACACTCCGGTCATCCTGATTGGCTGCAAGACTGACCTCAGGAAGGATAAAGAGTGTTCAAGGAAGCTCAAGGCCAATAATCAGGCTCCCATCACTTACACACAGGTGAGGCTGAGTGCAGACATTTAGTGAGCTATAGGAAGAGGCCCTTTGCTTCAGGTTACAGGATGTTCACTACGACATGCAAGAGGAAGCAGAACCTACAACCACACTTAAAGGGATAGTTCGGATCTTTTGAAGAGAGGCTGTATGACGTACTTAACCATAGTTGGTGTATTACATGCAGTAGATGGTGTTGAGCACGTCTGCAGTTTGGAGAAGCAGGTAGGAGTACCACTATGGAAGCTAGACAATGTTAATGGTTATGCACTTTACAAAGCCACCAGACTCCATAGACAAAACCCATAATTTTAGCTTGCTGAACATGAGAGCTGCTGTTCTACCTCTGTTTTGATTAGTTAGTTTGTTAGTGCTATTGTGTAATTTTGGTGAATCTGAATGAACCCTTTCAAACGCCAGTGTCACTCAGTAACACAAAAAACCTAACTGATTGAGGCAGTGGTACACCGGCAGCTCCTGTGTTAAGCAATGTTAAATTACTGTTTTTCTCAATGGAGTCTGGCTCCTTAAAGAGTGCTGTAACAGCTTCAGTTTCCCACTGGAAATTGGTGTTTAATGGTGAGGTAAAGCAGTGAAAATATTCTAAATATAGCCTACACTTAAGCTGCTATAGATTATTTTTAGACAGGACTTTTTTAGGGAGCTGAAATACATTTTTCCGCAGCCCCCATTCACAGCAGTACATTGCCTAGCTTCCTTGTCGGCACTCCAGCCTGCTTCTCCAAACTGTGGACATGCTGACCGCCATCTACTGTATGTAATACAATCCACCTTTAAAAAATCCAAACTATCCCTTTAACCACAGTTTCAGTGCAGTAACAAATCTCTCTTGAGTGTACATGTATCTTCTTTGTATCTGTCATACAGTCTAATTCTTGATGTTCATGTTGGGCTGGTTTTGCTTGCAGGGCGAGGAAACCCGGCAGCACATGAACGCAGAGCTCTACCTCGAGTGTTCGGCGAAGTATCAAGAGAACGTGGACGAGATTTTCAGGGAGGCCACCAAAAGAACTTTGGCCTTCAATCGGAAACAAAAGAACCACAGGAGAAAGAAGAAATGTGTCCTCTTGTGAGGTCAACATAACAGATTCTTGAGGACGCATGTGCGCTGAGAGTGATTGGACATCAAGAAACCAAAGATGCTCTCTGTCCCTAGGCAGATGTGGGGACAGCCGTATGACCACTGGATCAGAAAGCACTTATCAGACCCTGTCAGTGAATTTGCAGGCCTTTACTGTCACAAGGAAATGACTTATGACGTAACAGGAAGGACGATTTTGCAAGAAGGGTCAGGGTGGGGTGCAACTTGAAATGCCTTCTTTCATTGTATTTTACATTTGTATGTGACATACATTATTTTTTTTACTGATAGAAAGCTTTGTGTCATTTCTAAACTAGTTTATTGAGATGTATATGTGTATATGTGTTGGAGGAACTTTAACAGATGGTTCTTGTGTTGTCAACTCAGATTTTTCCAATTGTTTTCATAATGCCGATTCAAATGTATGAATCTGGCTTCAAAGCTGCTGGTAGGTAACATATTCCCCTGACAGGATAGTTGTTGAAATATATCATGGTACTGTAGCTTTAACAGTATTGAGTAACAGGGTTAGTTCATTTCCAGTAAAACAAAACACTGAACTAGAATTTGTTTTGGAGCTGTGTCAACTTAAAGCAAGGTGGGCTCTTATCTTTACCAACAGCGCCCACTAGTGTTTGAAAAACTGCATGTGTGCAGTGTGACTGCACAATTCAGGTATTTCCACACTTGTCACACTGTACATTGAAGAAAAACTGAAATAAATGCGAATATTTTCTGTCCAATTGCACAAGAAACAAAGAAGCGCACAACTATTTTTAATGAGGTCTTTAATTATTAATATATATTTTTTTACAACAATGTACACAGATTGAGAAACTGTCATCTGTCTCGTCACTGATCACACTCAGGCACAGGTCACAGTCTCCACATGAAACGATGAAAACATTGTTTAACATCGGCTACATCGTCAAAAATGAGGAAATCAAGTTGTTTTGTGCATTCTGGCAGCTCTCGCGTCAAGTGTAACGTTTTGGTCTGTAACCCGACATGCTTCAGTTTTTCCCTTAATAAAAGTGACACAGAAATATTGTGATTCTCTCAAGCGTGATTGCTTTCTGGGACGTGACGTAGAAAACGCTACCATCTTTGGATATTTCAAAATAAAATGACCTTCTTTTTTTTGCTGTGACAGGCTGGAGGGAGAATAAGGCATAAGAGACCAGACACCACCACCACTACTACTACAACTGTTTGAACCCATGTGAACTCTTCCTGAAAACACAAATGGACCCTACTTTGAAAGCATGACACAGGAACCAGACGACACTACAGTTAGGGATGGGAATTGAGAACCAGCTCTGTTAACAGTTGCAAATTGCAAACAAAGTCAAACTAATGCATCCATGCTGCTGGAATTTTGCAACATGAAGGCCCAAAGTGTGGCTTCATTTCACACGCATGCCTTTTTTCTACTGTTTCCACACTGTGTTCAGACTTAGAGATACTTTAGCAGTTGCGTTGACGCTGAAAATGTGTGAAGGCCTGCTTTTTTTTCCCACACAGAAAACTGATCAAGCATCAATAAGGGCATCAATTAAGAATCCGACAGATAGGCAGTCAATAATGGCATTGGTATCCATAAAATTTTGTCAATTTCCATCCCCAACTGCAGTGAACTACAACAAAAGCTCCTGATTTGGCCATAAATTCATACAAATACTTCATTTAGCATGTTAATTTGAATTAGAAAAACAATGACGCAGCACATTTTTAATCACCATTATGCATCTCAGTCTTACAGTACCAGTGCTAATAGCAGCATTTGATCATAATACATTTCTGAAACGTCACATTACGAGATGGGGATGAGCAGCGTTTCGTCTGTTTCAGCACAGTGATGATAAATCTCTGCGCTGACTTCAAGTGTTAAACTGAATTTAAAACTCTACTCGTAAATAAGCGTGAAGCAAGAGTTTGAGTGTTAGTGATACATGATAAACCCACGACAGTGTGTTAGCATGATGTTTATGAGAACATAAAAATGTGACTGATAGGGAGTTCTCGTGAAAACCCGCTCTAACACTCACAGGGAACAACCTTTCTTGTAGAGACAGTACAAGTTTAATGTCTGTGTTCGTGACTTAGCCGGATCACCAACTTTAGGCGTTAGATCGTTAAAAAAAATAAATCAGTTATGGCTTTTGTAATCGCTGCCTGAAGGGAGAAACAGTGTCACATTCCCTTGTAGTCCTTGCAACAAAAAGCAGACTCAAAGAAAAGACACCAGAGGGAGATTAGTTCTGAAATTGAAGGGCAGTCAAGTATCAGGTGTGTGTGTGTGTGTGTGTGTGTGTGTGTGTGTGTGTGTGTGTGTGTGTGTGTGTGTTTTTGACCTACATTTGTCATGATTAGTAAAAAGTACTGGTTAGCAGTGAGATAGCACAACAGGGAGTTCAGAACTACACATAAAAAGTTAGATAATTCGAAGCGCAGTGCCAAGTTTTCCGATTTTGTTCAAGCCAGAGAGTTTGACCGGTGCTACTTCACAGAAGTATGAAGTATGTGACAGACGTTAGGTCTTCAAAGGCAAACTGTATTCTGTTCTGTCGACTGATGCTACCTGCCCTCTTTTAGTTGCATATGATTTGAACAAAAGTCTCTCCGACGGATTCATGCGCTGACACAAACACCCAAGTAAACACACACATTCTCCCCACTCACTTTTTATGTACAGGATAAAGCGACAAACTGTTCGTCTGTCAGGTGAACACCACTTTGTGTTGTGACCGACTGTGCGGCAACATTGACGACGACGAGTCACTGGAAAGCAGAAGCCTGTTGGCCAGGTACTTGGCTGGACGCTGCTGCTGCTGCCATCAAAGCCTGAGAGAAACAGTGGTTTCAGCTCTGTCTCCTCACGGCCTGTTTGCACTGTGGTCAGTCTATCAAGCGATTGTGCGTGTTGCTTCAGAATTACTGGCCGTTTGTAGGAATCTGAGGTGGGTTTTTTTTTCAGTCATTTTTCTGCACCTTCTCCTGGTTTTTCTGAACTTTTTGGTGGACGACTTTCAAGGTGGTGAGAAAATTTCCCAGGAATAGGACGAGAAATGTCAGCGCCAGCATGAATACCTGAGAGAAAAAGGAAACAGGTTTTTTAAGGTTTTATTTAGAGACAAGTCACGACATGCATTTATCAAAACTGTAGCTAAACCTGGATTTTGAATTGTTCAAGGGCTTGGAGACGTTAAAGGTATACTTCACTCGCAAAATGACCATTTGTATATCAATTACTCACCACATGTTATATTGAATTCAGTTAGAGTACTTTGTTTTTCTTGTGTGCCTCCATGGTGAACAGAGAATCAAAAACTGTATCACAACATCCTTTTAAAAACTCTCATTTCAAGTCTAATTTCCAGTAGTTTGTTCAGTACTTTCCAAACATGCATTTTTGCTAAAACATGACGATTCAAACACTTCCGCCTACAAGTAGCCTGCCCAGAGCGCACAAGTGCTTATGAGTCTTGATTGAGAAAAGAGTTCAAACGCATGCTCATGCCCAGGCATGCTTTTCGGCCGTGCATGAGACTGTTTGTGCCCAAGTGTCTTAAACTGCAAGGTTTTAGTGAAAATGCTTGTGTTTGGGAAGTACTGAGCATACGACTGGATAAATTAGACTTGGATTATACTGCATGAGTTGTGTGAGAGTTTGTAAATGGATGTCTTGATGTTGTTGAAGATAAAGAATGTCAGCATTTTTTGGATTCTACATTCACCTCAGAGGCATGCAAGAAAAATGACATTTTCTATATGAATTCAAGATAATACGTGGAGGGCAATTGATATGCAAATGATCACTTTGCAGGTGCAAGTATTACTTTAACTAATAGGGGATAACAGTCTTCATCAACTACATCAGTCTCTATCACAGGTCATTTCAATAAAGAAATTGAGTAAAGCATGTGTGCTGCATGTGTCTGATGAGACAAACTTTCCCTGTACATCTTTTGACTCAATTTCAATGGCCAACTTAATATATCACCAACTTATGCTAACATGGCCTCAAATGAAGTCTTGTGGACACTGCTTAGATACAGCAAAATGAACAGCAGCCTGTCAAACTTTCGTTCTTCTGCCCTGATGTGCCTCTTGACATTTAAGCAATAGCTCTACTGATGCAGTCCTTACCTGCCACTCCTTACAGTCCTCAAGCCTTCCCAGGCGAAACAGGGTCACTGAGTTGTAGAGCTGCCAAAACTGTGAAAGAAGAAGAGACATTATCTTTCATAATGTTGCTGCTCGCTCCGGTTGCACAAGCTAGTTTCACTTTGATCCGCAGATCAAACAATGAATACTGGTGTAAACTGAATTGCAAAGATCAATGTCCTGATTTTAAGAGGAGACGCTACAGATGAATCCGGTATTATAATCAAAAGGAACATCTTAGACCTCTATGAACCAAGAAAGGATGTCACCCTGTAACCTCCATGGATGATTACTTAGATGTGTTTTTCTATTACAATTTTTCTTAAATTTTATGTTTAAATATGCAAATGCATATCTAATCAAATATGCAGCAATTGACATACATTTCCAAAAAGAAATCTGAAAACTGGATCAAGCCCGGTTAAAAAATCTTATTTAATTTTGTTAACATATTAGAGTCAAAGGTTTTTTTTATGAATTCAAGGTAAAACATGAAGGATAATTGATCTACAAATGATTATTTTGTCAAAGGTTTTTACAGAGGGAATTCTGGATATCTATTTTCAATATTCCATAAATATACAAATACTGTCAACAGCCATATAAAAACATTTTTGCTATGTTTTTATGAATAAAATGTTATATAAATCAGGCTATAAATGATATATGAACAAACCCATGTGTAAAAACCTGTAGAATATAGACAGGAATAAACACTGAAAGTTTGGTGTATGTAAGTGATACTGAAGTGGAGATTTGTGGCAGAGTATGGGAAAAAACTCATTTTGAGAAAATGTCCTTTAAAGAAATGTTTTAAAATTCAATACATTTAAAGACAAAACATATGACATTACAGGTGATAAAGGAAACATCTTTTAGTCAATTTCCCCAGTTGATTACTTAAATTAAGATTAATTGTGTGTTTTAATATGCAAATTGCATGTCATCTAATTAAATATGCAGAGAAATCTGAACTGACATTAAAACCTAGTGTGTATTTTGGACATTTTCTTTCCACTAGCCTAAAAGAAGCTATGTTATATAAACAAAATAGCCCAAAATCTAGACAAATGACCAGTGCATATACAGTATCTCACATAAGTGAGTACACCCCTCCCATTTTTGCAAGTATTTCATTGTATCTTTTCATGGGACAACACTATAGAAATGACACTTTGATATAACTTAAAGTAGTCAGTGTACAGCTTGTATAGTAGTATAGATTTACCTTCCTCTGAAAATTACTGAAAACACAGCCATGAACATCTAAACAGCTGGCAACATAAGTGAGTACACCCCACAGTGAACATGTCCAAATTGTGCCTAAAGTGTCAATATTTTGTGTGCCAATCATAATTATCTAGCACTGCCTTAAACCTTTTGGGCATGGAATTCACCAGAGCTCACAGCTTGCTTCAGGAATCCTCTTCCACTCCTCCATGATGACATCATGGAGCAGATGGATGTGAAGACACCTTGCGCTACCCCACCTTCAGCTTGAGGATGCCCCACAGGTGCACAGGTGAGTTTAGGGCTGGATACATACTTGGCCAGTCCATCACCTTCACCTTCAGCTTCCTCAGCATGGCAGTTGTCATCTACTAGGTGTGTTTTGGGTCATTATCATGTTGGAAAACTGCATTGCAGCTCAGTTTCTGAAGAGGGGCGATCATGCTCTGCTTGGAATTCATGTTTCACTAAATGAACCGAGCTCCCCAGAGCCAGCAGCACTCATGCAGTCCCAAACCATGATGCTGCCACCACTATACTTGACTGTAGGCAAAGGACACTTGTCTTGGTGCTCTTCACCAAGGCAGCATCATGGTTTGGGGCTGCATGAGTTCAGTTCAGTTCAGTGCTAGATAATAATGGTTGGCACACA